GGTGGAGGGAGGAGGGGGCGTGGGGCGCGTACAGGGCTGGGGCGTGCAGGGAGGAGGGGGCATAGGGCGCGTACAGGGCTGGGGCATGCGGGGTGGAGGCAGGCATTCAGGGCGGGACGCAGGCGCTCACGGTGCCCCGTGCTGAAGGCTGCGTGGGGGAATGGGGAGGGAAGCAGCTGAACCCCGCTCTCCCCCCAGGAGGGAAATCCTGCAGGACGTCTCCTTCTCGGTGATGCCTGGACAGACCCTTGCCCTGGTGAGAACGGGACCTTTGCGCTGGGATCCGTGCGGACGGGATTGGCCAATGGCAGTAGGGACCGGTCCGTATGGAGCCTGCCCACCCTGCCCCTGCCCCATCCCGGCTCCCTGTGCCCTCTCGTGCCAGTCTGCAGAATGATGTCTGGTACTGGTCTGTACAGAGCTGCCGGTTCCCGGGAATACTGGCGTCTCCATACGACATATTCCCTTTACTCAGGAACCTGCCAGTCCGTACGGTGCCTTCTCTGTGCCCCCGGCCCCCACCACACTGAGCGGCACCTTGGCCTGCTGACCCTTGTGCTCTTCGTGCTCAGGTGGGTCCGTCTGGCTCAGGGAAAAGCACCATCATCCGCCTGCTCTTCCGCTTCTACGATGTGTGGGGCGGCTGCATCCGCATCGACGGGCAGGACATCGCCAAGGTGAGGGGGCAGCGCTGGGGGTGCCTGGGGCAGGGTACAGAGAGGGCGTGAGGGGCTCTGGGGGTGCCTGGGGCAGAGTATGGGGGTGCCTGGGGCAGGGTATGGGGGCTTCCTGGGGGGCAGGGTCCAGGGAGGGTGTGAGGGCCTGGGGCTGCCTGGGGGGCAGGGTCCAGGGAAGGCGTCTGCCCCGGTGCTGAGTGCCTGTCCTCCCGGCGGCTGGCGAAGCTCTGCTGGGCCGGTCCCTCCCCGTCAGGGCCCGGCCGTCCCCCGTTTCCCAGGCTGGTCGGGGACGCCCTGATAGCTAAGGGGGGGCACCGCGGGGTACCAGGGCTCCGCTTAGAGCCGGACCCAAGGGGAGAGTCTGCGCACCCACCCGCAGCCCCCGAGGTGCAGCCACCCCCAGTCACACGCGCTGGGCATGGACGGTGTCACCTCCCGGCGGCCCCAGCGTTGGAGGGAGGGAGGGAGCCCCGGCCTGCAGGGGGGTGAGACAGCCCCTGGCTCCCTAATGGGGGAGATCCGTCCTGGAGCGCCGGCTCCCAAGGGTGCTTAGGGAAGGCCAGGCCCAGCCAGGCCCAGTGCTGGCAGGGAGGGAGCCTGCCAGGCCTTGGCCATCTTGGTTTGTCCCACAGCCCCTGGTGCCAGTGCCGTGGGGGCCCCAGGATGGGGGTCTGAGCGTCACCTGCCAAGGGCAGGTCAGGGGCCACGTGCTCCCCCGGGAACTTGGCCTGCTTTGTGGGACCCCCCATTTCCAGCCGGGGGGGGGGGGGCAGAGCCCAGCCCGCCAGGGCTAATGGGACAGGCCGGCTCCCAGCCTGGCTTCAATTAGCTGCCGGCAGAGGGGGAGGGGGCCCAGGCCGGGGCAGCCCCCTTTGAAGTGCTGAGGGGGACAGATCAAAGGCTTTCCGTGCTACCGCAGCCCCTCATGGGCGGGGGGGGCTCCTTTCAGTTGTGCTCCATGCACAGGCTGAGGCGAGGGGCTGGGAGCCGGGGGGCCGGCTGGGGGGCCCCGGCAATGGGTCACTGAGAGCTCGGCCTCCCTGTGGGGGACCCGGCAGGGGGATGGGGGACCGATGGGGCTCCGGCTCGGCCAGGCAGGCGTGGGGAGCTGGGCCGGGGCCGGCTCGGCTGCCCCCGGTGCCTGCGCTGACGGGCACGGCCGGGGCTGCCCTGCAGGTGAAGCAGGCCTCGCTGCGCGCCCACATCGGGGTGGTGCCCCAGGACACGGTGCTCTTCAACGACTCCATCTGCAACAACATCCGCTACGGGCGCGGCGCCGCCTCCGACGAGGAGGTGTGCCAGGCGGCCCGCGCCGCCGACATCCACGAGCGCATCCTCTCCTTCCCCGAGGGTGAGTTCGTCCCGCCGCGCGCGACCCCCGGCCCTGCTGCATCACGCCCGGCCCCCAGCTCCGTTCAACACCGACCCCGCCGGGAGCCCCTGGAACCTGGGACCCTTCCCAGGGCTCAGCTCGGTACAGTGGTGCCAGCTGCTTTCTCTGGGCACGGCCCTGCCC